GAGAGAGGAGTGAGTGTTCAGATGACGGCTGATAGAAGAGAATGGAATAGAAAAATTCGCTTTGACGACCCCACCACCACCACGAGATAAGGTGGAGAAAAAGAAGAAGAAGTAACGGGCACTTCATTCAATGAATATAATTATAATATAACGGTTGTGTCGGACTGTGTGTGGCACGAGTGTAGATCGCGGACTGCAAATACGACACGCTTGATCTAGGTAACACCAACACTTTGAGGGGATAATGAAGCCATATGGTTTTAAGCAAATATAGTCCTACAAGACCGAGTCTTAAAGCTCTATTCACCCGAAGTTGGCTGGAAAGGAACATGAAAGTTGGCGCCGGACCATCTTCTGATCTTAATCTTAATTCCCTTCATTACGGTTTATATAAAATACTATGATCATTTGGAGTCACTAAAATATTCTAAAATATTAGCGAATTCTCTAATCGAAGAAGTACGTGTTTCATTACAACTGATCACAATGTTTAAAGTATCACATCAAGGCCGATGATGGAGACATAGTTTTATGATCACCAAATTTTTTTATTTTATTTTTTTGCAGACGAAATTTTTAATGTTAAGTACATTTGTTTTTTATAATCTAGTTTTTCATATTGAACATTTTTGTATTGTAATTGTTACTAAGCTAATATGGTAATATATGTCTAATACTCGTAATCTAATTTGAATATAGTTGTTATCAACTCTAACTATGAACCTAGAACTAAAAACCTTAAAAAAAAGAATGGTAACTAAAATATATTATTAAAAGGAGTCCCCTTAGGCTAATTATATATTATTATATTATTAATTCAGATTAATAATGTATATTGAAATATATAAAAAATATAAATGTATAAAAACGAACGCACCTACAGTAACAAATATTTCTACACAATATATATGACTAGACTAAGTATGTTTTACGTAAACAATCAAACTGTACACATCCAACGGGCCTAAGCTATGATGTTATTTTATGTAAAGGCGGCGAAAACACATACAAGATTAATACATCTACATAATATATCTCGAATACCATATATCTTTAAACGATATCCCAGGCGAACATAATATCAAGTAGTATCAGATCTTTGAAGTCGTTGTGGCTTAAAGGATAGATAATATGTCGCCAAGACTACTCGTATGGAACGATACGACTGTGTGGATGTTCAAATATCCCAGGCAGGTAGCAACCTTATAAATAGGTGTTAACGAATGACTTCAACAATGAATAATTAATAACATTGTGTATTAAAAATTAAGGCCACAAATATTATTATTTAGGTATTTACTGGTGGTAATATACTCGTGGTGGTATACTGGTGGTAGGGTGTCTTGTGAACCTGCACGGGTAGCACTAGCACCGGTAGTGGAGTCGTCGCGGCATAAAGGATAAGACGTCCGGCGCATTCGTACCTAGCAACGCAACGGTGCTTGAATCCCGCAAGCGGGTACAAATTTTTCTAATGAAATACGTACTTAACAAATACTCACGATTGACTTCCACGATGAATGAATAACATCGTGTAATAAAAATCAAACCCGCAAAATTATAATTTGCGTAATTACTGGTGGTAGTACCGGATAGTACGGGTAGTAACACCCTGCCTATTTCTACCGTTTAGAACTTATGTCTCAAGGTGGATGGCGCATTTACGTTGTAGATGTCTATGGGCTCCAGTAACCACTTAAGACCAAGTGGGCTGTGAGCTAGTCCACCCAACTAAGCAATAAAAAAAAAAGTTGGACCGAGAGTTTGTTTACTTGTCCGTGGAATAAATAAAGTTTCATGTAATACATAAGCGGCACTGAAAATTCCGGGAATTAACGAAGTGACTCAACATTACTATTTAAAAATGTATTTATTGCTTTTCGAAGTATTCTCCGCGAAATTTGACACATTTTTCCATACGATGGAACCAATCATTGAAGCAACCATTCCATTCGGAAGTTGGGGTCTCCAAAATGGCCGTTTTGTAGGCGTCCACGGCTTCTTCAGGTGATGAAAATCTCTGTCCACGCAATTTATTCTTTATTTTAGGGAAAGTATAGAAATCATTAGGGTTTAGGTCGGGGCTGTACGGCGGATGATCTAATAATTCTATGTTTTCTTGCTCTAAAAACTCTTTTGTTCTGTGCGCGGTGTGAGAACTCGCATTGTCGTGATGGAGGATGATGCGGCGGTTGCAGTTCTCTTTACGGAGTTCAGAAACGACCTGTGGCAAACAAATGCTAGCATACCATTCTGCATTAACCGTTCTTTGTCCCTCAAGAGGAATAGTCGTAACATGGCCGGTTTTGGAGACAAACGTGGCCACCA